GATGGATGGATGGATGGATGGATGGATGGATGGATGGATGGATGGATGGATGGATGGATGGATGGAATAATGACTACTTTGGGATGTCAGGTCATCATATCTCAGAGGAACATGAACACAGGACTCCTCATGGAGAAGAAGAACATGTAGAGAAAGAGACAGACAGGAAAGGTAAATAATTTGTGTAGAGGTAGCAATGTATCATAAAAGTAATGATTAACAAATACATTAAATAAAATTTCTATTGAGGCTGTAAAAAGTAAATAAAATAGGAATCAAGTTTTCAGACTATGACGTCAGTATTTCAAAAATCACCTTCCCCGGTATTTTTTAATCCAGTAAAACCAAAATGTCTTATTCTAAATACAGGTATTAAAAGCCGGTTTATATTTCCTACATACTCTACAATAGTTAATCCTAAGTTGAGAACTTTGTCAGTCATGTTTTCTGGACAAGGCCAGGAAACAACAAGTTCTCATGGACACAGAGAAGACAGACACACAGAATCTGAAAAGACTAGTAAACTCTAGAAATAGAAGCATTAAGTAGATAAACGTGCCTCACCTCTCAAAAAAAACAACTTTTTTTTCAAGCAGATATTTATATCAGTTTAAACCTGTTGAATATTTCAGATTCGAACGAGCCTCATAGAAATGTTCACGAGGCTCACGGCCACAAATCTAGATCATCACATGGACATGAAACAGACGAGCATGAAAAGACAGGTATAAATACTAACGTAGTTCTGTCCTTTACTCTTTAATTATGGTTATGTAGAGCAGATAAATAAAAAGAAAAAGCTCTAAACACTGAAAGAATTCAAAAGAAAATATTTGATCAAATGTTCACCTGTAAAAATCTATTTCAGATTCTCACAGGTCTCACAGACTAGTGTATGAAACTCCCAGACACACTTCTACAACCTCACATGGAGAAGAGTGGACACACAAAGCTGAAGGAACAGGTATTATCTTTCAAATGTAGAGGTAGCTATGTTCTTTAAACTTTAGAGTAGTTACAGCGGGTAAAATAAGTATTGAACACGTCACCATTTTTCTCAGTAAATATATTACTAGAGGTGCTAATGACATGAAATTTTCACCAGATGTCGGTAACAACCCAAGTGATCCATACATACAAAGAAATCAAACCATAAATGTCCAGAAATGAAGTTATTTGTAATAATGTGTAATGGCACAGGGAAAAAGTATTGAACACATGAAGAAAGGGAGGTGTAAAAAGGCATGGAAAGCCAAGACACCAGCTGAACTCTCTCAGTAATTAGAAAGCAAGCCTGCCCCTTGTCAGTGTAAGTTAATATCAGCTGGTTCAGTCCCAAATGATGGCCAGGTATCACACAAGAACCATCTGATGATGGGTAAAAGTAAAGAGCTCTCTCAAGACCTTCACAACCTTATTGTTGCAAAGCATAATGATGGCATCGGTTACAGAAGAATGTCTAAACTTCTGAAGGTTCCAGTGAGCACTGTTGGGACCATAATTCAGAAGTGGAAAGAACATTATTTCACCATAAACCGACCACGACCAGGTGCTCCTCACAAGATTTCTGACAGAGGAGTGAAAAGAATTATCAGAAGAGTTGTCCAAGAGCCAAGGACCACTTGTGGAGAGCTTCAGAAAGACCTGGAATTAGCAGGTACGTTTGTTTCAAAGAAAACAATAAGTAATGCACTGAACCACCATGGCCTGTATGCACGCTCACCACGCAAGACTCCACTGCTGAAGAAACAGCATGTTGAAGCTCCTTTAAAGTTTGCTGCACAACATTTAGACAAGCCTGTGTAATACTGGGAGAATATAGTCTGGTCAGATGAGACCAACATTGAACTGTTTGGATGCCAGAATACACATCATGTTTGGAGGTCAAATGGCACTGCACATCAGCCCAAAAWCACCATACCAACAGTGAAGTTTGGAGGTGGGAACATCATGGTGTGGGGCTGTTTTTCAGCGTATGTTACTGGCAAACTTCAAATAATTGCGAGGGATGAGTGGAAAAATGTACAGAGACATTCTTGATAAAAATCTGCTTCCATCTACCAGGATGATGAAGATGAAACGTGRCTGGACATTTCAGCAAGACAATGAGCCCAAACACAAAGTCAAGGAAACTCTCAGTTGGTTTCAGAGAAAGAAACTAAAGCTGCTGGAATGGCCCAGCCAATCACCTGACCTGAATCCAACAGAAAATCTATGGAAAGAACTAAAGATCAGAGTTCATAGAAGAGGTCCACGAAACCTTCAAGATTTGAAGACTGTTTGTGGAAGAATGGGCCAAAATCACACCTGAGCAATGCATGCCACTAGTTTCTCCATACAGGAGGTGTCTTGAAGCTGTCATTGACAACAAAGGCTTTTGTACAAAGTATTAGATAAATTTCAGTAAGTGTGTTCAATACTTTTTCCCTGTGCCATTCCACATTATTACAAATAACTTCATTTCTGGACATTTATGGTTTGATTTCTTTGTATGTATGGATCACTTGGGTTGTTACCAACATCTGGTGAAAATTTCATGTCATTAGCACCTCTAGTAATATATTTACTGAGAAAAATGTTGACATGTTTAATACTTATTTTACCGCTGTATATTTACAGCTTCTAAACAACTAACAGGTTTGAGTTCATTTAAATGTAACAGGTATTTTAGAGCCACAGGAGTCCCACGCCCATGTTCATGGGACTCATGGGCACAAATCCTCAGCCCCACATGGACATGAAGACAACAAGCAGTCACATCAAAAAGTTGAAAGAACAGGTATTTATCTTTTGGATGTGGTGATAGCGGTGTGATTCAAAACTAGAGTAATGAAATTAGAAAATAGATCAAATTGCAGAAAAACACCTGAAAAATGAAACATTTGCATTATTAAAAACTTACTAGTTATTTCAGATCCTCACGAGGCCCACAGACACACACATGAGAGTCATGGTCACACATCCACGACCTCACATGGACATGGAGAAGACGAGCATGCGCACAAAGCTGAAAGGACAGGTAAACATTTCTCAGATTTAATTATTGTAACTCTAGTGATGAAATATAAAGCAGACTTAGAGCCTGAATGTGCTCCTTCTGAAGCCGACCAGGCAATGCGTGGTCGGCATTGGTTTTCGCACACACCTTTCATAGCCCCCGACACACTGCGCCGGGCTCCTGGGAAACCCCTCCCGCTGCAGCACTGCATGAGGTTTCTTCTCGCTGGAGTCTACAATGCCGAAAAAAAAAAGTCAGAGATGCTATTTGTGCACAAATCTGTCCCAGTTCCTACATGCACAACTGTTTTAACTCCATCCATGCCTTTTTGGCTGTTTGACCATCTTTATAAATGTCTTCTTCCTGGTACCTACAACAGTCAACTTCTTTTTTTAATTTTTTTTTGTTGTTGTTGTTGTTTTGTTTTGTTTGTTTTTGCTTTTGTGTGTGTTTTTTTTTCTTTTTTTGGAAGCGAGTGGTTGAAGCAAAATGCAGTGTCTGAGCATTTTCATCAACACTCCCACAAGCCTCTGACTAATCACACAATAAGTTCTTTAGTGGAGGAAGGGGGGATAAAAGTTCTGCCGGTGGGTTGTGACAAAAGGGGCGGCCGAGTCAACACTGAGAACAGGGTGACGTAAAGTTTCGTCATGAAACTGCGACAATCCAAGCTGATTTTGGCATTTCAGAGGGAGTGTGAAGTAGGCTTCACTAACAAAACCCAGATATCATCAGCAAACTGTATAATTTTATACAAATATTGGAAGCAATAATACACCTTGTTACATATTTGGGACCTACAGGGTCTTAATGTGGTTCTTACAAGAAACCTATGTGGACTAGAGTGTATTATGAGGGCACTTGTAACCCTGAATTAAGGTATATACCCAGAACCTAGAGCCACATACCTGGACCTTAAACCTTGGTGGTACTTACTGGGTACAGGCCTGGTACAGTATTTTTAGGGTACATATCAGATACATAGAAGTACATTTTTGAACATACTGGGTACCGAGTAAGAATAAGAATCTGGAACCTATGGGAAACTTACATGGTACTTATCAGGTATGTACTTGGTTCTTATCTGATATGAACATGGTATTTGCAATTTACAGGCAGTCATTACAGGGTATACAGTATATCTGGTATTTACTGGGTACATAATTAGACACACACCAGGTATATGCCTGAAAACTATAGGTTCTGTATCTGGTACTTCCAAGCAGCAAACTTTGAAACATACCTGATATCCAAATGTACATACATGCATACCTTGTAAGTTCTTATGTACATAGTCTGTAAGTATTATGTTTGTATCTGTAATTAACGTGCTGTGTAATGTACTGCTATCTATATCACAATTGTAAACCTAATGACAATTATTTCAGATCCTCATAAGTCCCACATACATGTTCATGGGACTCACAGCCACAAATCCTCAGCTCCACATGGACATGAAGATGAGCATTCACACCAAAAAGTTGAAACAACAGGTATTTATCTTTTAGATGTAGTGATGGCTACAGTATGTGCTTTAAAACTAGAGTAATGAAAATAGATCAATTTGCAGAAAAACACCTGAAAACTGATTTGTATTACTATAAACTTAATAGTTATTTCAGATCCTCACAAGTCCTACAGACACACACATGAGAGCCATGGTCACACATCTACAACCTCACATGGACATGGAGAAGACGAGCATGCACACAAAACTGAAAGAACAGGTACTTATCTTTTAGAAGTAGTGATAGCTACAGTATGTTCTTTAAAACAGTAATTATGTTATTGCCGAATAGATAAATTTACAAAAAAAAAATGCCAAAAAAACTGAAACATTTCCATTCATATTAGAAACTTATGTGGACTAGATTATATTATGAGGGTCTGTAACCCTGTATTACAAGGTACACGTAAGTGGCACATACCTGGACCTTATACCTCGGTGGTATTTACTGGGTACAGACCTGCTGTATTTATAGGTTCTATATCAGGTACCTGTAGGAGTACATTGTAGAACATACTGGGTACCTAGTAAGAATAAGAATCTGGAACCCATGGGACACTTACCAGGTACTTATCAGGTATGTATCTGGTACTTATTGGATACATACATAGTATTTGCAATTTACAGACATGGTCATTACTCATTATATATCTGGTATTTACCAGGTATAATTAGGCACATACCAGGTACCTTATACCTTTAAGATCTTTATCTGATATTTTCAAGCAGCAAACTTTGAAACATACCTGATATTTGTGTACTTACACACACACCTTGGAAGTTCATGTGTTTTTAGCCTGTAATTACAGTATTTTGTTTGTATCTGGTACAGAACTGGCTGAATAATGTACTGCTATCAAAATATTTACTATAAACCTAATGATAACAATAATTTCAGATCCTTATGAGTCCCAGATACATGTTCATGGGACTCACAGCCACAAATCCTCAGCCCCACATGGACATGAAGAAGACAAGCATTCACACCAAAAAGTTGAAACAGCAGGTATTTTTTGTATGTAGTGATAGCTACACTATGTGCTTTAAAACTAGACTAATGAAAATAGAAAATAGATCAATTTGCAGAAAAACACCTGAAAACTGAAATATTTGTATTACTGTAAACTTAATAGTTGTTTCAGATCCCCACGAGTCCCACAGACACACACATGAGAGTCACGGTCACACATCTACAACCTCACATGGACATGGAGAAGATGAGCATACACACAACGCTGAAAGAACAGGTACTTATCTTTTAGATGTAGTGATAGCTACAGTATGTTATTTTTAAACTATAATTATATTATTACCCAAAAAAATCATTTACAAAAAAAATAGAAATAAAAAAACATCTAAAAACAGAAACATTTGTGTTGTTAAAAACTTTTAGTCATTTCAGATCCTCACAAGTCCCACAGACACACACATGAGAGTCATGGTCACACATCTACAACCTCACATGGACATGGAGAAGATGAGCATACACACAAAGCTGAAAGAACAGGTAAACATTTTTATATGTTTTTATTGCAACATTAGTGATGGAAGTATAAAACAGATTTACTAACAAAACCTTGATATCATGTGTAAACTGTATAATTTTACATAAATATTGGTGGCAATATAAAATACACCCTCAGTACGTACTTGGACCTACAGGGTTCACATCTGATACTAACAAGTAACCTATGTGGACTAGATTGTATTATGAGGGCCTGTAACCCTGTATTACAAGGTACATACTGTATAACGGCACATACCTGGAATTTATGCCTTGGTGGTACATGCTGGGTACAGACCTGGAACTGTATTTTTAGGATATTTATCAGGTACCTATAGGAGTACATTACCAGGTACATAATTAGGCACATACCAGGTAACTTTGAGATCTGTTTCTGATATTTTCAAGCAGCAAACTTTGAAACATACCTGATATTTGTATGTAGCTGTACTTACATACACAGCTGGTGTGTTCATATATAGCCTGTAAGTACAGCAGTTTGTTTGTATCTGGTATTGAACAGGCTGTATAATGTATTGTGTAAGGGTCAGCTTACACTTCTTATAACAAGGTTATAAGAGTAATTTATTTAGCAAGGATCTCTTTTAATGTTTGGATAAACATTTCTTTAGGGCAAGAATGAATGGACACAAAAATTCACATAGTCAGTCACCGTAACAGCTAGATTCTCTCCGGGGAATCAAAAGCTGGAAACTGTGTTGGGTTTGGCCCCTTCACGCCAACGGGGAAACCTCACAGTGTGGAAAACCACGCCTGGTTTATCCACCTTCAGAAACTCTCCAGACGGAAGTTTTATTTACAACCTGGGTTCCAGTCGAGGCCTTGTCTTCTGGTTACGGCTGACGTGGACGCAAATGAGTCAAAGAGCATGCCTTGGGGTCCCCTGTTCGACGGTCTAAAGACAGATTCTCCAGCAGCACCCTCATCTACCTGGCAGGTGACAGAACATCATCTCAAGGTAAAAGCTGGCTGTGTGTGACGTCGAGGTCTGACCAAAGCTGAGCACAGAACGCTTCGCCCTTCNGAAGGGCGAAGCGTTCTGTGCTCAGCTTTGGTCAGACCTCGACGTCACACACAGCCAGCTTTTACCTTGAGATGATGTTCTGTCACCTGCCAGGTAGATGAGGGTGCTGCTGGAGAATCTGTCTTTAGACCGTCGAACAGGGGACCCCAAGGCATGCTCTTTGACTCATTTGCGTCCACGTCAGCCGTAACCAGAAGACAAGGCCTCGACTGGAACCCAGGTTGTAAATAAAACTTCCGTCTGGAGAGTTTCTGAAGGTGGATAAACCAGGCGTGGTTTTCCACACTGTGAGGTTTCCCCGTTGGCGTGAAGGGGCCAAACCCAACACAGTTTCCAGCTTTTGATTCCCCGGAGAGAATCTAGCTGTTACGGTGACTGACTATGTGAATTTTTGTGTCCATTCATTCTTGCCCTAAAGAAATGTTTATCCAAACATTAAAAGAAATCCTTGCTAAATAAATTACTCTTATAACCTTGTTATAAGAAGTGTAAGCTGACCCTTACAATTGCTATGAAAATATTTACTATAAACCTAATGATAACAATTATTTCAGATCCTCATAAGTCCCAGATACATGTTCATGGGACTCACAGCCACAAATCCTCAGCCCCACATGGACATGAAGATGAGCATTCACACCAAAAAGTTGAAACAACAGGTACTGGTATTTATCTTTTAGATGTAGTGATAGCTACACTATGTGCTTTAAAACTAGAGTAATGAAAAAAGATCAATTTGCAAAAAAACACCTGAAAACTGAAATATTTGTATTACTTTAAACTTAACAGTTATTTCAGATCCACATGAGTCCCACAGACACACACATGAGAGTCACGGTCACACATCTACAACCTCACATGGACATGGAGAAGACGAGCATACACACAAAACTGAAAGAACAGGTACTTATCTTTTAGAAGTAGTGATAGCTACAGTATGTGCTTTGAAACTGTAGTGCTGAAATTGCCAAATAGATAAAATAGCAGAAAAACACCTAAAAACAGAAACATTTGCATTGTTAAAAACTTTTAGTTATTTCAGATCCTCACGAGGCCCACAGACACACAATTGAGCGTCATGGTCACACATCTACAACCTCACATGGACATGGAGAAGACGAGCATGCGCACAAAGCTGAAAAGACAGGTAAACATTTTTTAGATTTATTTATTGCAACTGTACTGATGGAAATATAAAACAGACTTACTGACAAAAATGAGCTTCAGATATCACTTGTAAACAGTATAATTTTAAGTATTAAAATTGGAGGTGGGGGGTGGGGGGGTGTGATCCCTATAAAAATTTGACCTATTTAACATGATAGAAATGAACAGATTACAGTACACAGCTGCAACTCTCTTGTTGTTAGATAACTTTGACATGATTTCAAAATTTACGATGTCATATACATATGGTAGGTCTACTATGTTGTATAATACATCCTAAAAAATGTATGTGGTTGGGGGGGGGGGTTACGCCTTTTTTTAAATAACTGTCATGGAACAGAAAATATGGAGAGTAAATACAAAGTAAACGGGAAAGTTGAGTAAATCACAGTAAAACTTTTACAGTGTACTGTATTTTAACCTCAAAATATCCTGAATTGTTTTATGAAGTAAAACGATTAAATAGATAAATAATAAATAAAAATAAATACATAAATAATTAAATAAATAATAAATAAATAAACAAACAAATAAATAAATATGCAGATAACATAACCACCCCCAATTGTAAACCTAAAGTTAAGCTATTGGTCCTAATGTGATACTTACAGGGAACTACCTTCATAGTACATATTTAGAAACATACTAGATACTCAATTAGAAGTATTTATATGGAACTTATGGTACATGTTTTAGGCACTTATTTGGTATACTCTGTACTTACCTGACACATAACTGCTACTTGCCAGGTACTTACTGGATATGTATCTGGTATTTACTGGTACATATGAGATCTGGTACTTTCAAGCTTATACCATTTAGTACATGATAGGCTTAGTGTAGGTACGTAAATACACATTTACTTCAAAAGTTTCACATGCATGTAGCATGTAGGTATGTACCCATAGGTATCATGTTTGGACTTGGTAATTACCACACTGTATAATGTATTGTTGTCTAATATTTACTTTAAACTTAATGACAACAATTTCAGATCCTCATGAGTCCCACAGACACACACATGAGAGTCATGGTCACACATCTACAACCTCACATAGGCATGAAGAAGGCGAGCATTCGCACCAAAAAGCTCAAAGAACAGGTATTTATTTTTTAGATACAGTGATAGCTATGCTTTTAAACTTTAATGATAGCAACATCAAGTAAATGAATGTACACTTAAATACTTAATATTGAAACATTTGTATTACTATAAACTTAGTTATTTCAGACCCCCACGAGTCCCACAGACACACACATGAGAGCCATGGTCACACATCTACAACCTCACATGGACATGGAGAAGACGAGCATGCACACAAATCTGAAAGAACAGGTGAACAATTTTATACTTTATTTTGTTAGTGATGAAACTATAGATCAGAGGAACTTACAAAAATTAGGTAGAGGTATGAAGTATGAACAGTACTTTTGTTTATATTTGTACCAATATGATGCTTGGTAGGTATACCTGGTACCTACCAGGTGGACATGTGCAGGATAACATTGGGGGCCAGGCTGAATTGGGAAGTAACTTGTCTTTCCTGCACTTACAGTGTACATACTGAGTACCTGCAGGTTATGTACCCAATATACTTACATGAAACGTTTGTGCTACTAGCTGAAAGTGTACCATGATTTTCATTGTGAATACACCTAGTTTTTTTAAAGAGCATTCCTGGCACTCCTTGGATACACACCTACTTTGGCATTTTTGTTAAAACAGTGTGGATGGAGAAAAAACATAAGAAGAAAAAATAAATATTTAAAAGTATGGTAGTGTATACAAGGCCTCCATGACCTGATTAATTTTAGACCCTCAGATGTCACATGGATGTGTATATTTCACTCGTGGAAACAAATCAACAATGTTCTCTGAGCACAAAGAAGACCAACATAATAAAAATGTTCTTTGTTTTTAATAAACAAGCATCTCAAAACCTGCAATATAAATTATTTCCACATGAGTTAACGTGGCTATTCTCACAAAGACAATTTCCCTGTGATATACCAGCTCTGCATGAGTCAGAGAAAAACAAGCATGGCCACAAATCCACAACATCGTCTGAAAGCAGGGGGCACAGCGAAGGTGAGACTGTTTTAAAGATTTGTTTTTGTCATTACATAAACTTTTACTCATGTCACTGCTGATTATGGCCTTTCAGTTCTGCATATTTTAGAGAAGCACACACACAACACTCACGGCCACAGAACAACTGTCTCATCTGGACACACGGAGAAAGGGGGTGACCACAGATACACAAAAGCGGAAAATGGAGGCATTTTGTTTTTATGTCGTTTCAATGTGCCTGTGGATTTACAGTAGCTATAAAGACCACATTACCTGTGATGCAGTAAAAGCACAACAGACATACTTCTACCATGAATTAAGCTTGACAGCTCACAGCGGAAGAGCCACACTTATCTAAACATATCTCTGGATCTAAACAATTGCTTGTCAGTTAGCATGAGCATTAATGTTAAATCTAGATCTGGTACCAATAGTAGTGCTATTTTTACTTTTTTATTATTAAATTTTACTTATTTATTTTAATATATGGGACATTCAGGAATTCTGAAGGCAAGAAAAATAGAGTATAAGAAATGGATTTTCTAAAATTGAAAGATAAATCTGATGCCACAAATACTCCTAAAATAAATTTTATTACTGTTTTAAAAATAATGTAAATGTTGGTACAGTATTTTCTTTAAATATGGTGTATTTTATTTCCATTTCCCTCCTGTCCCATCAAAATCTATTGCTCTATCATGAGTTTCAGATGTGTTTTACAGTAATACTAAAATTAGCATACTCTAGACCAGTGTTTCCCAAATTTGGGGATATCAAGGTGGGGTCCTGAAAAGATTTTCTGAATTACTTACATTTTTGCCTTAGTTGTTACAAAGGAGTGAGGTTAGTGTATTTAAAATGGATAAATGTAGTATAAAAATATTGTTACTATGCCCATGTTTTGTTGACCTGATACAAATGTTTATCATCCAAAAATAGTTGGGGGCCACAGGTCTGCTACTAATTTGTGGGTCAAAAGCTGAAAAGTTTGGGAACCACTGCACTTTGGTTCCCAAAGTTGGGCTTGGGACCCAATTATGGGTCATGAAGCACCTTGGATAATCTCCAGAAATCAATTTAAAGGGTAATAAAATAATTGCTGATGTAATATTTTCCCTATAACTATTACAAAACACAAAGAAGTATAAATAAGTATTTATATTTGTGTATAAAATGTTTAGATTGTCAAAAAGCCTGTGTTTTAGGGTTATTAACAAAGTTCGTGTCCTCAGACCAGTAATATTTGTGGTCATAAGTTTTTGCCATGGATATTTTGTGGGTCAGAAGATAAAAAGTTTGGGAACCACTGCCCCAGACTTTCTAGTTGTGCTTTTTGCTTTCTAGTTCAGTAAAACAGTCTCACTTAATCTGCATTGCATCAATATAAATAGATTTTTGAGTTGTTGCTCATTTGTAGAGCATCGAATCGTTGAAAAACAGGGGAGAGAAGGAGGCGGTCATGAGAACACCAAACATGCTTTCAGGAAAGAGGAAGACGACCAACAAGAGCGAGAAAAGAGGAATAAAAAAGGTAGATTCTGAGTGTGATGTTATAGCTCAGTGATTCATAACTGGTTGCATAAATTTAGTGAGATTTAAGGCTGTCAGTTTGTGCATCCTGTGGGTGTTTGAATCTGGTTGCCAGTTCATTTCATCCCTCCAACTGCCTTTGAAGCGAGGCTTTACTGTCCTGTTTGGATTGCTGCAGGATTTTTTTTACATAAATGCAGCAACAATGTTATATGTTAAATCTTAATAAAGTCCAACCAGTTAGGAAGCATTTGTGAGCTCATAGAACAAAACAAAACCCTTTTCTTAGAAAATCCCAACCTCCTAATCCATTAGACTAGGTGGGCAATGCTGGTCCTCGAATGGTTTACTTATTTCTTTGCTTCAATACCTGATCCAGTAACTGAATTACCTCTTCCAAGTTCTGCAGATGTTTGGTAATCACCCATTCATTCAAATCAGGTGTGTTGGAGCAGAGAAACAAGTGAAACATAAGAGAGAGCGGATTGCCCAGTCCTGTGTTAGACCTTCTGTAACATTATTATTTATGTAGAAAACTGTAGTGTGTCAAATGACAACTAGACATAAACAAAGATTCCTTCATTCCTCAAGGACTTCTGAAACTTCTGAGCTCAGGAGAGCCCGAAGTCAAACAGTTACTTGGGGTCATACATGACTATTTCAGAGGTAAGTATTGTAAATAGGACCATTTCTAGCTTTTGATCTAAACTCTGAATGGTGTTTTTATGGTAAAAAAAAAATTGTGGAAAGATTCCTCCCATCGTGTTTCATGTTCATTTTCTGTACATTTTGTTCATTTTCCCCCCACTACACTGTCATGGTTGTGTTTGCTTTACGATTAAGGTAAGATTTTTGCATTAAATGTTGCTTCTGTGTACATTTTTTAACTGCGTAACTGTTGACATTTTCACTTGTGCCCTGATATCTGTCTTTCACTGTTTACAACTCACAGCTGATCAGTTCTGATAAAGCAACATCTTGACTCCAAACTCTAATTTGAGGAACAATGTCCTGTTGCCTCAGTAGTCTGTGAAGTAATTGTCCATTTATATTTAATTAGGCAGGTCTCCCCCCACAGTTAGCATGGTTCCCTCAGTGCTGAGGGAGGCACTTTACAGTTCTCCTTCGTGTTGGCTTCCTTTAAACCAGCTTATTAATATTTCAGCTGGCATCATCAGCCAAACAATAATAAAATAATAATGTGATGGCTGATTAAACAGCTAAACTCCAGCTTTTTAATGTGTATTTAAACGTGTATTTGCATAAACATGGCTGGTAAACGCCTCTTTAGAGGACAGTGATGCCTTGCAGCACACTACTGCAGCCAACTTCTGAAGCTAAATAAAACCTTAATTAGGAACCCGCCTCAGCCAAGATAATTGTGAGGAGTGTGAAGATAATTGTGTGTGTGTGGAGCAACAACTGCTGCTCCCCCCCTCTGCACAATGCAGAGGTTGCATTAGTTAATATGAGCCTTTCGTTTCTCTCTCTCTCTCTCTCTCTGAGGAATATTCAAATTATTACACCATCCTTTTTTAGTTTAGGGTTTAAAATACGGGGGGGGATGTTTATTGTACACGGAAAGTAAAAACTGCAATCCGACTCTTTTGAAATAATTCACAAAAAAAATAATAAACTAATTAGGACGTCTGACTGTGCACCACTTTATGAAAGAATCATTTTAAACTATGGACATAAAACTCCCAACAGTGGAAATATTAAGAAATTAGGACTGAGCAAAAAAAAATGTGGATTTATTTCAGTAATAAAGCATCAGTGAAGAGTAAACACAAACCCGTGTTTTAAGATTTTAGAAGTCCACATTTATTGTATTGCTGTGCACTGAACAAACACATCTAATTTACATGAAACTCCAAAGCAGATGGAAACTGAAACAACACCACATATTTAACTGTTTAAAACTAAACCAAGTAAGTCAAAGAAACACGACAAATAAAGCATCAGTTTCATTCAATTTCATCTTTGTTCCCCCTATTAGCTCACATTTTGTGATCAGTTCTGAAACTCTGTAAAAAGTGTAATTGCATTAAGTCTGATGCAAACAGTTCTTGGTAAATAAAAACAGACATATTGTACTTTTGCACAGAGGAGAAAAATATACATATACATCTCAGTAAATCTAAAGTTTTAACCTGATTTAGTAATTACAAATAATATACACTACTGAAATGAAAAGCCAAACATCTTATAAAGAACAGCATCATGTTTCATGCTAGAGTTTTAAACACAAATTGTCTTAGGATGAAAGTGGAGAGAGTTACAGCCAGTTTGGTGAAATCTTCTAAAATTAAATGATGTTATGTTTAATCTCATGTGATATGAGAGCTTGCTACATGTGTTAGCTTTAAAGTATATGCTGGATATAATATGCTACTTCTGTATATGTTTCAGCTAGATGTATGTAAAACTGAATACATTTTAGCCATTTTTGTGTTTGCTTAAGTTGCTTAGTTGTGGCACATTACGATCAGTTGCAGCACATACTATGATTACTTTCTAAAAGTTTCTTTAAAATCCACCCACTGGTTCAAGACACACTCACATACAGTGTAAACATGGACAGAAACATCAGCCCTATCCTGTGGCAGCAGGCAGGAAGTGAAGCCAAAAACATTCAGAGCAAAACCAGTTCAAAATATCCTGACAGAGTAAAGAAGAAGAAGCGTTGAGCTTTTTTGAGGTTGGACCCAAAAAATTCAAACATAAATTAAATCGATTAATTATATCAAACACAACGCAAACACGAAAAAAGCTGTTGTGGCAGCAGAAACGCAAAAGAGGGAAAGAAACTCAAGGAGACACAGAGAAAGACCTGGAGCACAGTAATGAACGGATGAATGAGAGAAGACCCAGAGTATGAATGGACTGCTGAGGAGATGAGCTGCAGGACGTAGATACTGAGAAATTAGAGGCAGGTCAGATGACTGAGCTGAGGGAAAATAAAGGACAGAGACTGCAGCAACTTCGCATAAGTTCTGTGCTACCTTGCAATACTTTTGCATTTATTTGCATTTCTATTTGTAATTTCTTCGCATTCTTGAACAAATTAAAATATCTGGTTACCAATTTTTTTAATAAGCCTACAGGCAGAACAGTAATGAACAACTTTTGTGAGGTGACGTAAAGTCTTTGCAAAAAAGTATTGCGAGGAAATGCAAAAGAAATCCTCTGTAGGAAGCCCAAGAGGAGACATTTTTTTGGGAGGCAAAGAGGAGCTCAGAAAAAGATAAACTGAACGTCAGACACCTAAAATGATGCAAGAACAAAAATAAATAAAAAGCTTTATGACCAAAATGAAAAAAGAAAAAAAAACAAGTCATAAAAAAATAATTCTCAAAAAACAACTCCAAAACACAGAGCTGACACAATAAATGAAGTCATAACAAGACAAAAAAAATCGAATTACGATTTAGTAAGAAGTAAATTAAAACAAAAAAAAACTTAAGGAACTTAGTTACTTAGTTAGCCTACATACAGTACAAGCAGGTATCTGCTATCCTTGTCATATCACCACTTACACCTTAGGTGGTGGTAGATAAAATACATGATTAGGCCTGAACTGCGTTGTATTTTAATTCTAAAGCTAATCCTTTTAACAATTCACATTTAATTGCTCCCCTGACTGCTACATGTTTTGTATTCAAATTATCCATAACTGTTAGACACATAAATGAACAACTCCCTCCTTTGAAAAGAGGACAGAGTTACAGAGAAGCATCTTGTTTACATTTACGCCTCTTTATGTTGCAATTATTTTTATGATGTAGACCTTTTTATTGACCAGCTTTGGAGTGGAGAAGCTAGTTTTCCATCACAGGAGTCAAACAGAATGTCATGTGCTGCACGGAAACACCGACTGTATTTCTCACCTCAAACCCCCTCGGCTATGATTCTGTATCTTGTCTCATCCGGTGACATAATTAAATTCCCAGACAGAGTCAACATGGCTGTGCTTGCATGCCTGTGCACATACATATGCACGCACACACCAACACACACACACACACACACCATCACACACAGTGGTGGAATTCCCTTCAGTAATCAGTGCAGCGCATCGAAGCAGACTCAGCAAACCTGTGAGTGCACTAATAGGGAGCGGTCTGTCTTTATTAAACCAATATAGACTGAGATAGGTGCCTGAGAAAACACACACAGTCATTCATTCTTTAAGCTGATATATGGAGGCAAAAGTTTCTGAAAGATCCGTTGTCCTTTTTTCTGCTGTTATTCGGCAATCCGTTGAGAATGCGACACTTGTCCTTGTCAGATCTTCCTGAAGAAAATTAAAAAATCTTGTGTCTGAAAACTAAATGAGACTGTGTCTGCTCTCTTGTAGACTGTGAGTGCAACGGCCACTCCAATCGCTGCAGCTACATCGACTACCTGAACATCGTCACATGCGTCAGCTGCAAGCACAACACCAGAGGCCAGAACTGCCAACACTGCAGACTGGGATACTTCCGCAACGCCTCTGCCGAACTGGATGACGAGAACGTCTGCATTGGTCAGTCTTTTGGGAGACGATGAAAGTGCATGAAAGAGGATGCTGTGTGTGTGAGTGAGTGTGTGTGTGTATTTGTTTTTGTTACAGATTGAGGACCATAATATGTTTTAACCAAAAAAGTGAGGTCATTTTTTGGGAAGTGAGGACATTTTCCCAGTCCTCACGTTTTTTTGTAGCTCTACTGCGCTCTGATAGGTTTAGAGGTATGGTGCGAAGTTTTGGTTCAGGTTAGGAATAGACCAGTAATGGTTAGTTTTAGGGAAAAAATTTCTGGGTTAGGCATAAATGCAGTCACAAAAATGAGTAGACGTCGATTCAAAGTCCTCAGTTTGATGCAAGTACAAGGGTGTGTGTGTGTGTGTGTGTGTGTGTGTGTGTGTGTGTGTGTGTGTGTG